ATGAGGCTTAATGTATTACTTTACTTGCCCAAATCATAAAATTAATAGAGTGGAATCAATATTTTAACTTTGGTTTTGTGACTGCAGCTACAAAACTTTACCACAACATATTGTGACACTATAATCATGGTAAGTTGAAAATGAGGATGTTGAAAAATGCCTTTGTCTAGTATGTGATTTATTCAGAAAACCTTTATTAACTCAAAGTAATGAAAAATAATGCCATCAAAATAGTTAATCTCTGGGGCCCTCTTGGCGCAGCGGGTTAAAGTGCAGCACTAAGAAGCTAAGACCACTTCAGCATGAGTTCGATGCCTGCCCTGGAGGTGCTCCACATGGCACTGCAGATCTCTCCTCCTCCTGCCGCTAACCCTCCCCGCTGCTCCCCTCAGCAGTGTACTTCATCAGTCGGCCCTTTCTGCTCCCCACTCTGTCTCTAGTAAATCCTCTCACTGCCCTGCACCTTTGGCCTGTACCTCAGTTCTACATAAATAAATTGTAAAACAACAACAACAACAATGATTTAAAAAAAACTTAACCTCTTCCATTTATTTAGTGACTATAGAAAAATTTATAAACAAAATATCTAATTTTTTTCCTTTGCATAAAACACACAATACACTATTGAGATAATTTATTTTACAGTAGGGGTAAGAATAGAAGAATATTGTCACCTAAGATGAATCTTTTGATGACATTAAACAAGATTTCATGTTTAAATATTTTATGTGTACTGAAAGAATCATTGAATATCAGAGTTAAATAACTCTTAGTGTTCTTTTAGTGCAGCTTTGTAACTGAAACACTGATGTGCTGTCTAATCATGCTGACAAGCAGGACTCTTGCCTTTTTTTGAGCCCTTCCAGTGATGAGGTGGTCACTACCTATGAAGAGAGAAACAGATGAGTTTTAATTCTGAAATGATTACAGATTTGGCAGGAAGTGGCAGAGCGCATACAGAGTGATCCTGTGTGCCTTTCCCCTAATTGCCCCCAGGGGCCCCATCCTGTATAACTATGGTACAACATCAACACCAGCTAATAACACGTATGACATATTATATTATCATATAGAGATTCATACAATCATCACTACCTTAAAGGTAGAGAACTAAGCATATCTCCACAAAAATTTTCCTGATGCTGCCTCCTTTGTAGGTGACACCTTCTTCCTCCCTCCTCATCTCTAACTCTTGTTAACCTTTGTTTTTCATCTTTATAATTTTGTCATATTGAAAATCTTATATGAATGAAATCCTATGACATGACATGTAACTTTTTGTGATTTATTTTCTTCATTCAGTGTAATGCTCTTGAGGTTCATCTATTTGTTAAATATCAATAGTATTTGTCTTTTTTTAATTATAGGTAGTCTTCATAGTATGAATAGACCATCGTTTGTTTTGCCATTCTTTTATTTATATAAAGCACTTAGCCTTTTACCACAAAACAAACATTTGGTTGGTGTATTTATCTGAGCAAGTTCTCTATTCCTTGTTTTCTCAGAGGTGGAATTTGTTGTGATGAGTGTTTTATCTGTATCAGTGAATAAAATCATGTGATTATCATCTCCCCAACATGTGAATATGAGTGGTTATACTGATGTTCAGAATTCAACCAGCCTCTCATCCATCAAAAAACCCCATTTGGTCATAGTGTATAATTACTTTGTATATTGCTGAATGCTGTGCTAATATTTTGTTAAGGATTTCTCTTCATATTTATGAAGGCTATTAGTCTTCATTTTTCTCTTTTGCCATTTTCTTTTGTTTTCTATTGGTTCTGTGTTTTGTAGCTGTTTTATCTGTCTTCCTATGAGCTAAACATTTTTTAAAACTGCATTTTGATTCATTCATAGTGTTATTGAGTGTATTTCTTTGCAAAGATATTTTTAGTGGTTGATCTATGTACTACATTAAAATTGCGCAATTTGTCACATCCCACTCCTGTTATACTTTGTTAATTAGAGTAGAATGTGGAAACCTTACCGCCTTTAAGTGTCTTCACCTCTTCCTCATTATACAGTATTTCTTCTACATGTACTGAAAACCACATCATACATGAATGCTGTTTGCCTCAAATGTCAAACATCATTTCAAAAACTCAAGAGAATGACAGTCTATTGCATTTACTCACATGTCTGCTTATCATTGTAGATGTAGGTTTTTCTTTTTGTTTTCTGAATATCTATCCATTCCTGAAGCATCTTCTTCCCTTGCAGCTACAAAATGTAAGAATATCCATATATAAAAACTTTGCTTTTTACAATTGGTTTCCGGCATGGGGAGAAGAGACACTGTGATCTAAATTCCCATATCTTCACATGAACTAGCCAAGAATTTTCATTTAATAGCTCCTTATTACATTTCATCTAATTCAGATACTTACCAAAGATCTGTTGTGAACAATAGTGTATTTTGAAAGGGTGTAGGTTTTCTGAGACATAAATACTCTCAGTTGTTTGGACAGATGTAAAATTGTAATTCTGTTTGTTCCATAAGCAAGATTTGAGTGCTCTTCTCTAGTTCACAAATTAAAGAACTGAACTTTCCCCTTACAAATAGAATTTTGATTGTGTTATCACAACTTCATCATTCTTCACACATAAACTTAAGAGAATAGTCTCCAGTGGTTCTCAAACATTAATGAAGATCATAATAACTCAGGAGGCTTGTTAAAACAAAATCTGCTAGGCCTTATTTGTAGAATTTCTCATTATCTTAGGATGGTGAGCAAAAATTTACATTTCTAACAGTTCTGAGGTGATGTTGATTATGCTATTTGAGGTTTCACTTTGTGAACCACTTAGCTACATAAAATTTTTCTCCTTTCATCTCCTTTTAACTCTTTAGTTATTCAATCTCATTTCAAATTTCACCATTTTTCGAAAATGCCTTGTCTAATGCCCTTCCTGACCTTTTTGTTGCCAAATCAAAAGCACACTCTTCAGTTGCTCATCTTACCTTATATGTAGTAATCACACGGTGAGGTTGATTTATCCTCTTGTTTAGTAATCTTTGTTATGTTTGGTTTGGAGACTTGCCTTTCTATCCTTCCTTTTTATTCTCTGTATAAATTTTCTCAGTTGCTCTTTTATCCCTTGTTCCTTCCCACTCCTCCCCTTACCTCCCAAACACACCATACAAATCAAACTCTAAATGTTAGAATTCAATCTGGACCTTCTTCATATCCTATATGATCTATTTACTACTGTGTGTATGCTAATAACTCCCAATAAGTGTCCAGCTGAGGCTTTTCAAAAGCTTTTGATGGCGTAACCACTTTATTTCTAATGTGCCACTCTGAATAACTGGTATTTTGAACAATAAATCCAAAATTAATCACCATATTTCACAAACTTTAAGATGCATAATTTGCTATTTTACTGTCTATGAATCTTTCAACGACACCTTAAATTCTGTGAAATAGTCACGTCTCCTCTTCCTTCCCCAGTGAAAAGTTCTTCTCCAGCTCATCTACCTTTCCTTCCATTCACTTGTTAATGCTAGAAACTTAGAAGGTGTCATTGACTTTTCGATCTTTTTTCACACTTATTTCTACCTCAGAACATCTTGGGTCCCTCTTTCTTTGCTGTATCTGTTTTAGGCCATACTTATTGATGATTATTGCAAAGCCCTGTAGTGTCCTACAATCCATTGTTACTTAAATTATTCTTATAACAGTATAAATTGGTTCATGCCACTATTGTACTTACATTCCTTCAATGAATGAAATTCATGATCTTTACTGATCATGGAGAGGCCTCTCTACGCTGGTTTGTGTTGCCTTTCCAGACTCACTTAGTACCAATATTCTCCTTTATTTTTCTTTGACTTAGACACACTGGTGTTTCATTATTTCTTTTACAATACCACATCCTTCCTGGAATGCTCTTGCCTGTATTTCCATCTGTCTTCTAACTTGTCCTTTAAGTCACAAATTTCATTCTTCAACATCAGTCCTTCAAAGATGTTTGCTGACCCCCCCATGTAAGTTAGACCTTATTATACATATTATAATACTTTTCCATATTATTTTGTATTCTTCTACATGATGCTGATGATTAATCAATCATGTTTATCTCTGCTCTGTCTTTTTGTTACATTCCTATGCACAATGCATAGCAATGGAAGGTGTTTAGTACAAATTTTAAATACATGAAAATAAAATAAGGTTTAAAAAGATACATTTTCACATATAAGCTAAAAATTCTTTTTCAAATGTAAGGCACATAAAGAACACTTAAGCTTGGGTAATAGATGTTCTTTTCTAGTTGCCATTGACATAAATTGACAAAGTCATTTGAAAAGAAAACTTAGTTTTCATGAATATGCAATTTCTGAAAAAGAGTTGACAGATTAGTTCAAGGTAGTATTAATGATATTTGAGTCGTTTACTTTAGTTTTACTAATACAAATGAAATTAATCCGTTTGGTCATTTTTATATAAAATTAATTTTTTGTTCAACCAATTTTTTAAAGACCTCTCCCCTTCCCCACCCCAACTTCCATTTTAGGAGGATTTAGTATTATGAAGAACATCAGTCTACATACCGGGAAAATCTAATTACTTGGCTTTTTGTTACAGTGGTTATTGGCAAACCACTGTTTAATTTTTTTTAATGCTTTTTTAATCTTTGGGTAACAAACTCATGTCTATAGGCCAGCATGGAAAAAACAGACATAGCTGATCATCTTTTTCTTTTTCAGAATATGTAAGTTTCATTGCTGCTCATGTTGATTATTAGCTTTTTCACTTCTTGCAGGACTTTTGTTCTGTGGGGTCTGTCTAGAGTTACATGCACTTTTGTATTCTGCATTCTATAAATTTTACTCATTTGCAATCTTAGCTTTCCCTTGGTGGATATATAGTGAGTGCTACAACGCTCTTGAAACAGACAGGGTTACCCCGTGTAACCCGTGTAACGTGTTAGTAATGTCTCTGTGCGTCCTTTCTTTCGCCGTCTCCTTTACTGCACTCTCGTCTGTCTGACTCTCACAGGAGACATGGATTACAACTGGTGGGACCACACGTCTTGGCATAGCAGTGAGGCATCCCCAATGTCTTTGGTGAGACATGTGGAGCCTTACTATTTAATTTCTGTTATCATTTCACTTTCCCTTTTTATTTACACCTTTGCATGTTTTTTTTTTTTGTATCTTTATTTTTATTTTATTTATTTATTTTTTTTTATCCCACACCTGTAGGGGACAGTCAAAAGGGAAAAAGAAAAACTAGTGAGCAGGCAGTTTTGTCGGACTCTAACACCAGGTCTGAGAGACAAAAGAAAATGATGTACTTTGGTGGCCACTCTTTGGAAGAGGATTTGGAATGGTCTGAGCCTCAGATTAAGGACTCTGGGGTAGATACCTGTAGTAGCACAACCCTTAACGAGGAGCATAGCCATAGTGATAAGGTACTGAGATCGCGGAGCCTGCCTCTTAACCTGCTCGTTTGGTCTTCGTTTGCTCTCTGTCACTCATTGAAACAGAACATAATCAAAGGACAGGGCACTGGAAGGGTCAATGTAGCATTTCTTAAGGTGCAGAAAAGAAAAACAAAACAAAACCAAACAACCAAAATACTTCTTGTTTGCTGTTTTTGTTATTTGACGGCATACCAAAAAAATAAGTAAATGAAAATAAAAATTAGGAACCAAGGATTGTTTTGTTTATGGTCGCGTGAGAGAACTTTGTAATGTTATTATAACTCACAAATATAAAGAATTTTTGGATTGGCTTATTTGAATGCTTGCATATATTTTCCTTGGGATGAAAATTAAATTATTAATAGTTTGAATCCCAGGCAAAGGGAGATAATTGGGTCTATTTGCACAGAAAAGTTGTTTTTCTTTTTTCCCTTTCACTGTCATTTTGCTCTTTTGTTTCATTGTCATAGCATCTTAATGTAGTATTGATTAGTATTAGAGCCATTACCATCTGCTTTGGTATTTATTATTTTTGCTTTTAGTATAGTGAGACTTTTGAAATCTTTTTATCATATAGATATGATTGATGGAACTTGTCTTTTGCCTGCTAAATTTTGCATGAAGATGTGCATGTTACTCTTAGATGACTGTGAAACTGATTACACAAATCACTTACTTTCTTTGACATACATATTACAATGGAATGGTGTCATGATTTTTAAAGAACTTAATTCTGCTCTGAAAAGGAGACAAACTCTTAACATTTCAAGGTTGTTTAACAATGGATGCCACTGAAATGTATAGTAAAATTAATTTACTAAATAGAGCAGAGAACTGAAATAATCAATGAACCTCTGAAAAAGTGAGAAATGTCATCCCCCTCACTTTTGAATTAGATCTATTTCTCCCATGCAATTCAATTGAAAACTTACGCAGGGTTTGTGTATTTTCTGTAAGTTTAATCTACAAACCCATCTTAAGCAAGCCTCTATCATAGTTCGAATTTTATGCTTTAATATAATTTGACCTTTAAATTTGTACTTACACTGTCTTTGAAAGTCTTCCAAGGGTTTGAAGATTAAATTTACATTTTTAAGTGAGTTCAGCTGCATAGAATTTCAATTTATTTTTTTCTGCCTGTGATTTTTAATTAATCTTCAGTATGTGAAGGATTTGGATTTTGAAAAAATATGACATTATAAAGTTGAGGTTAGAGTTATAATGAAATTTATAGTAGCCTTTTGATCAATGTTTTAGAATGCAAACTGGTTTGTGTAATCATAACACTTTAGAAAGCTGAAGTTTAGAGACAATGTACAAGGGATCATTTGTCATAAATATATTAATTTTTTTTGTTTGTTGATATGCAATATGTTAGCATCCTGTGACATGGCAGCCATCCAAAGATGGAGATCGTTTAATTGGTCGTATTTTATTAAATAAACGTTTAAAAGATGGAAGTGTACCTCGAGATTCAGGAGCAATGCTTGGCTTGAAGGTATGTAGTGAATTTATATAAATTTTTTACTCCGTATTCCTTTATAGATTAATCAGAAAAGCAAGGAAAATAATCATTCTTTTTTCCTAAACCAGCTTAGTGGTTTTTTTTTCTATTTTCAAGAATTCAAAAATATTTGCTCTGGTAATCCAATTTTGTTCTAGTGTTTTTAAAATTGTTGCCATTATAATAAATAATACTTATATGTATAATACTTATAATAGATATCTACAATTTAATATTTACCTGTATACTTTTGGAACATAGTACCTTGTATGCACAAACTTGAATCCTAAGTACACAAATCTGTATTTGTGCTTATAGTCTATTAAAAGGATAGTTCATTTACTTAATTACTAAATATGTAAAGATTAACATGTAACATATATTACAATGAATATAATTTTGCATTGATGTAGCAAGATGTGTGTATACTTGTGTGTATGAGAAAATGAGAAGACACTATTTGCAATCTGGAAATCCAATGATACTGTTAGATTTAATGTAAATATTGATTTATGTTTTATTATAAGATATCAGACAACTATTTGGTAAATACACCAAGAGTTCTTTTTGTTTTTGTGCATCTGTATAACAATTTATATATTGTAAAATAGAAGAGTAAATGTTTTAGAGTTAATCCATTGCTCTACACAAGTTGTCCTGTAGAATACAGAAAGTGATACAGATTAGAAACCTTGGGTTATGGGATGGGACATGTAATATTTAGTGGGTGGCTGACTGTGGCTGGCACTCACCCGAACAAGATTACATCATATTTATCACTCATCACAGAAGTAAGCTTAGAAAGTGTCTTGTCCATGGTCACAGAGGGGGTGATGAGAGTGGTATTTAAATACAGGTCTACCATGGGAGTCTTGGCTTGAATTCGAACTATAATAGTTACTAGTTATATGACATTGGGCAATTAAACTCTTTGCCTTGATGCCTCTGTAAAATGGAGATAGTAATACTTATTGAACTATTTTAATAAGATTAAATAAAACAATATACAAACTTTTAGTACAGTGCTTGGCACTCCGTTTAATATCAGCAACAATCATTACATAGTCTATGTAATGAATTATTATCATTAATTTTATCAGGCCAAAATTTTTTTTATTATTTAAGTATGTCAGTTCATAATATCTGTACATTTAATATTCAGAATCAAACAGGAATAAATAGGTAATATCAAGGATTTTTAAATTCATTTTTCACTTAAATTAGAAAAAATTGTTTTAGTCAATGGAGTTTGTTACTATTATTTGTTTGACCTGCTCTAAAATTGGTATATTGATTTAACGGCACTTGGTCAGAACCAAAGTATTTGGAAGCTTAGTTTTTTTCTGTACACCTATGATTCTAACTCATTGTCATCAATACTGTAACATAAAATTGGAAAACTTGGGCTGCAAATAAGTTTACATTAGTTCTGATTAGATTGAGGAAATTATGTAATTTTCTCAGAAAGATTCCTCTTAGTGTTGTACATTATCATTATGCCCAAAAGATATTTACCTGTTGAAATTTTGGAAGGGGTGTCACAATCACAATGAAAGTAGCAAATGTTTTCTTATGATGTTTGAAATCTGTAACTAGAAATGTTTATATAATTACATAGTACTATAATCGTGTTTCTAGAAATTACAATAATCTGTAATGAAGACAAATTCTATGTGGTTTTCAAAGTATGTAACGTTTAAACTAAATATTGGGATATGAAAAAAAAGGCCATTCTTGGGACAGGGACTCACTTTCTAGTAATCACACTATATTTTAAAGGTTATTTTTATTTGTCATTGTCTTGAAAGTTGCAAGCGGTAGGGTTTTTTTTATCCCTTGAATCTTCAACTATGTTCATTTGACAATATTCCTGTTTTAATACTTTCCTCTTTTAAACAGGTTGTAGGAGGAAAGATGACTGAATCAGGTCGGCTCTGTGCATTTATTACCAAAGTTAAAAAGGGAAGTTTAGCTGATACTGTAGGACATCTTAGACCAGGTAGGATTCTAGCTTTGATTATTTACATTTTAAATGGTTCAGCTTGAGTAGTTAGGGAAAACTCATCCTCATTTAAAAGTGATTTGATAAGTAACAAATAACTCATTTAAACTAAATATAAATCCTTATTAGTGGAAAGATTGCACTATTATTTCTTGAGTCACATTAGATGCAAAGGTTTTCATATTACCGATCTTATTTTTTTTGTTGCTAGATATTCCTATTCTGTATCCAGTCTTAACCTATTTTGTTTTCCATAAACCATTTTCCCTTTAAAAAAATTCCAATATAGTTTAGGAAACAAAACTTTGTGTACAAATACATATTATCTCTAAATCTCCTTGTCACACTTTATCATTCTTTATCTCTGTGGTAATGGATACTACTGGAGAGATTTTGAGTGCTTTAGAGAGGATTTGCTAAGATGCTAAGTTTTAAGTTTTTTAGGGTGAATTTAGGTCAGGTACTCAGCTACAAATAAATTAAGAAACCTATCATGCAGTGATAAAACCTTCAAAGCGGAAGCTGATCTTAATACTAGAATTAGAATTTCTATTAAGAAATTATGAAGATAATTTTTATGTAATATTTTCCCCTCTGATCTTATCCTTTGGATTAAATATACTAATTATTCTGGTCATTGAATTTTATACTACTGGAGTTGTTCTCATTTTCTTATTCCATAATGGTGATTTTAATTTTATTCTATGGAGTTCATTACAGCTTAAGACTGCTTTTATTTCAAATTCATTTTATAGAATGAGTTTTTCTCTCTAAGATTATCATTACTAACAAACTATCTAGGTGATGAGGTGTTAGAATGGAATGGAAGGCTATTGCAAGGAGCCACATTTGAGGAAGTATATAACATCATTCTGGAATCTAAACCTGAGCCACAAGTGGAACTTGTTGTTTCAAGACCTATTGGGTGAGTTAGTTGAGTAATTATACGTGTATAAAGTTTATTGTCTAGTGACAGCTCATAACATGCAAATCAAAAATATCTGATAGCCTAAAAATAAGTGATTGTCATTTATTCAGTGGTAGATGTATCATTTTATATTAGTTTAAAATATGAGCTTCTATAAATGATACACTGCTAAAATATTTAATTAATAATTCTTATAACTCTCACTGAAAGCACTTCACTAAAAATCATGACATCTTTTTACCTGATCATGCTAGAATATAAAGTTAATTGTAAAAGACAAAATATTTAGCTGTTATGTTAGCTTAGTAGTTTTGTAGATGACTAAAGGAGTTAGTAGAAAAGGACTATAGTTGACAATGACTTTTAAAAGAGGGTACAGGAACTATGCTCCTCTACATTGTAAAGATGAGGATCGATTGCATTATGCAAAGTTTTCATATTTTCTTGAAAATGGACATTTCAGTGTAGAAAAGAGAGGGTCTACATCCATACTATTACCAGATAGAGGGGGCAATTTAAGGAAATGCATAGTTATCTTTAAGGAAATGAATAGAAAATAAACAACTGTGAAGTATTCTTTGGATTTCTAAATTGCTACCTAAAGATTAAATTAATAATTTGTAGACCTCTCTGGTGGCACAGGAGTTAAAGTCTCAGCCCTATAAAGTTATTGCCAGCCACTGCAGCATGAGTTCTAATTCTGCCAGGGAGGTAAACAAAATAGCACAGCAGACCTCTTCTATCTCCCCTACTGTTCCTCTCAGCAGTGAATTTCAGTAGATCCACCAGCTCTGCTTCCCTCTCTGTCTCTGGTGAACCTTCTCACGCCCCCATCCTCTGACCTATACTTTAGTTCTTGTATGCATAAGTAAATAAAAAGGTTAAATTAATAATTTCCAAAACTTGTCAGTAAATACATATCTTTGCACCTATAACAATTATTGTTTTCACAGTGTATCCTTTATGGAAACTCATATTTTAAACTCACATAAAGTGATCCATCTGTCACTAAATAAATGTAATAGAAAAATATGTAAACTGACAATGAATTATTAAATGCATGCTTTGGGTAAGAGAACTCTAGAATGGAAATATAGAAATTCTTCCTTGTCATAGAATCCTAGTGTTCATTTCTTACTTAGGAAAGATTAGACTATAAAAAGTAGATAGTACTATATCAAACTATATTATTTTGATCTCTTTATGCTAGACAAATGATTTTAAGATGATAATTTATTTTCATTGAAATACATCTCTCAATCTAATAAATCCGACATACAAAATTACATTTATTTCCCACTTTGTCTTTTTATTTTACTTTGTTTTGTAATATTATAGAGCTATAACTCCTCAACTTAGTGTATTAGTCAAATATATTTGTTGGCATTAAAGGAATTGCTAATCATATTTTTGTTTAATATTGTAAATATTGTTTCATATGTTTTTCTGAATGATCCTAGCCAGTAACCACTCCTGGAAAATCTCAATATATATAAATGCAGTAACAAGAAAATTTCGTTATGGCCCCAATAAGAAGCATTTTATGTTTTCCACAGCTAACATTAAAATGAATGTTAGCTAAGAAATCAGATTGGTACACCAGTTGGGAAGTTGGGTACAGAGTCTTTTTCCATTTTTGTTGTAGTGATATTTTAGTTTTCAGTGTTGACTTAGAATTACAACAGGTAAAAGTAGAGAGGACCAGGAGTAACATATATCTCTAAAATTTATCTTGACTACAGAAATTATGTAGAATGGATTGTGTAGTGATGCACCTAGAACACTAAGTGCATGATTTTAAAAATCTGCTATAATGCAAATAAATTTTAATTCCTTTTAAGTAGTCTGGATTAGCCTAGAATATTTTTATAAGTAAATAAAATATTACAGCTTTATAACTTATATAGTACTACTATCATATACAATTTTTTTATTTTATACTATTTTATAGTAAAGATAGATTATATGATCAAAGCAAATTGCACTAAATTGTTGAGACAATTTCTTGTTTATTTTTCCTATCTTTTCAGAGATATACCTCGAATACCTGATAGTACACATGCACAATTGGAGTCCAGTAAGTTTAATTTATTCTAAAAGAAAATACTATTAATAATGTCATTCATCAGGGATCAAATGAAGTATTTTATCTATTGATACAAAGTAAGAATTATCATATTGGTGTTGTCAGCTATCTAATATTGAGGTGGAAAAATTAGCTTCATTTTGTGGGAAGTATAAAAATTCCTTAATATTTTAAGACTTAAAAATATGTATATATGTTATTTATTTATTATTGGGGTAATGTTGATTTATAACACCATATATGATTTAGATGCATAAGATCACACTTCCTTACATACATGACAGCACACGCTACCCATCACCAAGACATCCTTAGTTCTCTACCATAGCTCAATTGGGCCCCCTTCCCATTTTATTCTCCCTTTGTTCTTTCCCCCATTGGTTTCCTACCTATGTTTTCTTCAATGAAATTGATAGTTTTGGACCTCACATTCATGTCTTTATTTTGTGGAAAATATGAGATGGTGATTGATCAAGTTTCATTATTTTGTATGCTACTGTCCAGTTCTCACAATAACATTCATTGAAGAGACTCATGACCCCTTTGCCAAATGTGTGTGCATTTGTTTCTGGGCTCTCAATTTTACTGCATTAGTCCATACCTTTTTTTTTTGTCCAGTACCATACTGTTTTGATTACTATAGCTTTGTAGTATAACTTGAAACTTGTGTTGCTTTTTGGGGGTCAGATTGCTTTGGCTACTTATGGTGTTTTTTGGCTCTATATCCATTTCAGTAATTTTTGTTCTATTTCTTCAAAGAATGCCATTGAAACTTTGATAGAGGAATAACATTAAATGTCTGCTTTGCTTTGGGTTACATGGCCATTTTAAGAATATTAATTCTTTCTATATTTAGTAATTATTTTTCTGGCTTTTTTTGCATCTTCTATTTCTTTTAGCAGTGCCTCACAGTTTACATTATTGTTTTCTTGATCTCTTTCTCAGGTAGTTTGTTATTTATTTCAAAATGCCACTGATTTTTGTAACCTACTACTTTACTCATTTATTATTTCAAATATTTTTTAATAGAGTCTTCTGGAATTTCTAAGTATATTATCATATCATCTGCAAATAGTTAATGTTTAACCTCTTCTTTCCCAATATTGTTATGTTTTATATCTTTCTCTTGCCTAATTGTTCTAGCTAGGATTTTCAATACTATGTTGAACAGTAGTGATGGAAATGTACATCTTTGTCTTGTACCAGAGCTTATTAAAAAAACTTTCAGTCATTTACGGCTGAGTATATGGATTTGTCATATGTGTTCTATATTATGTTGTTTTATGTTCCACCTATCCCCAGTTGCTGAGAGTTTTTACATAAATGGTTATTGAATTTTATTAAAGGCTTTCTCTGTGTCTTTTGATAGGCTCCTATAACTTTCACTTTAATTGAATTGGTGAATAATCTTGATTGAGTTTTGGGTGTTGAACCATCCTTGTATCCCTAGAATAAATCCTGTATATACGCCTTTTGATATATTTTAAATTTGATTTGGTAAAATTCTGTTGAGGTTTTTGCACATATATTCATCAGGGATATTAGTGTATAATTTTCTGTTTTTGTGATGTTGCTGTCTGGTTTTGATATCAGAGTGATACTGGCCTCATTGTAAGTGTTTGGAAATATTCATTCCCTCTCTCATTTTTTGACAAGGTGGAGTTTGACAAGGTTAGGTTCATCTTCGAAGGTTTTGTAGAACTCCCTTGTGGAGTCATCTCAGCCCGGACTTTTGTTTTGGAAGACTTTTGTTTCCCAGGATCTTTAATTGTCTATAGTCATTTCACAGAATGATGCCTCTGATGAGTGGGGTATTGGTCCTGGTAAGGGCTAGTATTTAAGAACTGGGATCATAGGATACTGAAAGCTATCCTCCAGTGAACACCAAAGGTTCATGTTTTATATAGTAAATAGGGTACGATATACTATATATACCTTATAGTGGCTATCTACAGTGACCCCCATCCTAGGCTAGCTCTTCAGCCAAAACATCTTGCACAGTCTAGATCCTGTCTCAGCCTCTAAACTGTGGTTAAGCAATAGATGTAACATTGGATGGGGACTATAGTGGATCAGGGCACAAACTGGTATTGTTCTCTTTGCCTTTCAGGTATCAACCCTCACCTTGGAATGCATACTTCTGTTTTTAAGATCCATTTACGTGGTCAATGCAACCATTTATTTGGTTGTTATCTTGATCTTGGCCCTGGCTAGTCATAAGGCAGGTGCTTCACATATCACAGATGCACTGAAAATAATAGCTTCTTCTATTGGAAGACAAAGATTATTTGATAGGGTCCTCACCTCCAGTTTGGACTGTCACTGTTCTTTTTGGGGGAGCATCAGACTAACAATTGCCTCTGGTATCCTGAACCTTACAGATCTTCAGTGGTGCATTCTCTGGCTTTTACACTGATTCTCTGTACTTTTTCGCCAGCATAGTGATCAGGTTTTAAAGTCCCTGAATTGGGTTGTATTCTTACATTAAAAGCACAGAGAGGCTCAAGGAATCAGTCATCTCTTCTCCTAGGTTATATTGTCCCAGATTAATTAATTTTTTTTCCTATCCCCTTTCACTGTGCTATTACTTTGAGCATATAATAGGCATTTGTTTATCACTCTAGTGTTGTTGCCTTTATTTGGATGTAATTTGTTTGTAAATATGTGAAGGAAGTGAGCCCAACATCTTCACTCTGCTGCCATCTTACCAGATTGAGTATAAGTTTCTTTAAAGTTTGTACCAGAGGGTAAAATCCTGTGGAATGACATCATATAACCGATTTGATTTAGTATCTTTACCTTTGTTCTAAATCACTCCATTATATGTAATAATAATATCATCATCATTTATATTTTAATGGGTTGCAGCAGTTGTACACTAATCACACATAAACTTCACAACAATCCTATGAACAAGTTAAGATTTTTATTCACATATATTATGTCACTCTGATAATGTATAAGCAACGTGGAACCTTTGTCTTATTACAGATATTTCAAAAGTTCCTAGGCTACACTTTTGTCATTATCACAGATGAATCAGAGGTCTTTTCTCAAAATAGATTTAATCCTTCACTCTTTAAATGTTGACAAATAGGTCTCTTATATTCCATATATCCTTATATTCCAAAGAGCTTAGTATAAGCTCTTCATATAGTTAGCATATGAAGAGAGTACAGAGAATACATTCTCTTCATATTGTTTTAATTGTCATATGATCTTTAATAAGTTTGTATGATCAAAATGCTCTATCATTGTCCCTTCATTCTTGAATGTTTAAGAAATATGCTTTGTCTTTCTGCTACTTGAAGCTTAATATATAAAAAGAATAGAACTTACTTCTAGTTACAAAATCTCCACTTTTTCTACTTCTGAATACTGTTAAATGGTACTTTTGATTTTAAGACATGCAGTTTCCCACTCATTTTACGCTATACTCTGTGTAAGATGTGATTTTTATCCACTTGATTTTTAGGCAGACACTTTACAGTTTCATTTCCAACACTAATTTCTATTTGACATTTGGCCCTATTCATATATCCATTCACCTACTTTACATCTTTTCTTAGATGTCTCAGAGGTATTGCAAGGTCACTGTGTTCAAACAACTTTTCCATGCATTCCCTAAAATAGGGGACTTCTGCAGTATTTCGTCTCAGCAAATATCAGCACTGACCTGTTCAGAGAGCACAGCAGACACATGGGGCTTTTTATGACCTCATATATAGTTATAAAACTTGAAACCTTACTGTTTCCCCTTTCTTTCCTTATCTCTCACATCTATTTATTTTGGTAAGTGTTCTCTGATAATAACTCATTCTCTGATATCACCTGAGATTCTTTCTATTCCATTTTCACTACCTTTGCTAGATTAGATTCCACCAGTTCTTAGCTGTTTTCCATCATTCTTACTCAATCCACATTTTGAGTAAGTGGTAAAATCATCTTCCTGAATGTTTTTTTTTTTTTTTTTTTACCTCACAAGCTGAACATGGATAATGTTTCTAGTACCAAAATGCATAGCGTAGAACTCCATTTTTTCCCCTCAACATTTCATTAACTTCATTTTTATTCACTTTCTGATTTGTGCCCTTCTCCTCCCGAGAAGTCTTTCATTCATATGACTTCTGGAGATTGTCGGCCTGTTTTTTCTGCAACTCTGTGATCTTCTTTTCATAGTTCTTCACTTCCTTGCTACCCAGCTGGTTTGTTATAGTGTTTTTTTTTTTTATAGTGGTTAAAAATTTTTCTTCCTGGAAACATTTCATAATTAACATTCTGGTATTTATGTCTTTAGCATGACAAATTTAGGCCATTCTTAAGTTGCCTTATTGATTTTGGTTTTACTTTTTTTTCTTTCTGTTTCTATTTTTTAAATCTATGTTATTATAACATATGGGTTTAGTACACATAACAGACAGAGTATCTAAATCCCCAGCTATACTTCTGTTTCTTCTATAACTGGCATAGAAAATAGTTTACCTTGGGTCTTAAGAGAATCCCTAAACTATACTTATGCTCAGAAAAAAACCTTATTATATTTGATACTCTGTAACTAAGAACATCATCTGTATAATGACATTTTGTGAACATTCACAAGTAATTTAAAAGGTATATGGCAAAGATTATAAAGTGCTAATAAAGAATCATTGTATATCATTCTGTATGTATAATTACTATTTCAGGTTCTAGCTCATTTGAATCTCAAAAAATGGATCGTCCTTCTATTTCTGTTACCTCTCCCATGAGTCCTGGCATGTTGAGGGATGTTCCACAGTTCTTATCTGGACAACTTTCAGTATGTAATCACTAAATTAATTTTTCTTTTTGAAATATTAAGTAGTGTCTACTATCAGATGCTTGTTTGTTTGTAAGCCAAGTTCTTCATACAGTATATCTGTTTTCAGCCATAAACTTTATTATTCTTAGTGACTTTAATTAATTAAATTCAACTAACTATTCAGCATAGTGCTTCCTTTATTATAGATAATGTTTATGGAATTTAATGAGTTAAATTTGTGAAGATGAATAAAATATTTTTTTCACCATAGTAATATATTTTCAAAATTCAAGGTCATGATTTTTACTCAGCACCTTAAAATGACTATGATTTGTAATTTACTCTTAAGATAAAAATACTATACTCTCAAATGTGATATATTTAATAAAAGAAAACATTTATATATTCTTCCTTAATTTTCTATCTTAAAGAAATTTAAGAGGAATTTCGTAGTAGTCATTGGGGTAGAAATATTGCCCTGAAATATCTTGATATTTGAGATGCTCTTGTCAACAAACAAAACTAAGTAAATGGGGAAATAACATGGATTACTGAGCATACCAGATGATTTTATATTATCCCCAATTTGAGCAATTTATATTAAAGATTATAAATTCAGTTGCACATTTTCTGTCTATACTAGAATTTTACAATTTAAAACCCTCATTTTCTAAGTTAATTTCCTCAGTCATTATTCCCCTTTTAAACCATTAAATATTAAAATTTATCTAATTTGTTTTAGGAACACACAAGTTAAAATTGTGAATAACGCTGATGGATCATTAAACTTGAGATCCTATGAGTTTTACAACTTTAGATTCTCAAAATGAAGAAATTGAACTTTGAATAAAAATGTTATAATCAAAGCTAAATAATTCTTGTAATAATGTGTTAGTAGTAGTAGAAAAAGCTTTTTGTTCAAATAAAAATTTATTTTGCGGGGAGAAAGATGTGTTTAATTTTTGCTGAAGAAATTTCATTGATTAGAAGGAGATATAAGTAGTATAAACAAAATTAACATTAACAATTATTGAAAAAGTCATTAGACTTGTCTAGAATGGTACTGATTTGAAATCAAAAGTGACAATAGCAAGAGTCATGCAAGAAAAGGTGAGATACTATTAGGAGTTTAGAAATGTCTGGCTAAATGAATTTCTTTTTTTTTTTTATTCTCCTTTCCTTTCTTTTTATAAACAGAGTGAGCTTTTTCATTTGAGGACAATGATCTATTTTCTGTAATACATAACATCTTTCTACTTATTCTCTTACATATATTGACAGCATAGATGTTGTCATTTATAGTTACAAATGCTTATCTTTTCTTCAACCATTTTAGAAAGTGCCAATAAATGTTAGTTGTTTATTATTATTAATGTTCTGTTTGAATAGTCCATATTTAATAATGCTCTGGTTGATTGGATGATGCCAGTAAATAACTAAAATCTGTGTGAGAGAGTCTGTGTGTGTGATTGGCTTCAGTTGATGGAGGAGGAGCAGAAATTAGATTTCCATAATAAGTAAGTACCTCTTTGTTATCTCATTTGAAATCCCTGGGCTCTACTAGAAATAGAATAGACTGGAAGATGAGTATGGTGTAAACACTTACACAGATTTCAAGTATGGTTCAAAATGAATATGGTAAGACTTAAATATTTGGAAATAAAACTTAAAAGTTTTATTTTTAAGTGGGAAATTACAGTATTCAAATTTATATGACTTTATAATGATTTTATATTATCCCCAGTTTGAGCAATTTATATTAAGGCTTAAGTGGGAAGTATGTTGGTTTTAAGTCCATGAAGTTGTAATTTATAATGTGAACCCATTTTATTATTTTATCACAACTTCGAAGGGTCTTATAAGATAATGTTTATTAATATAATATATATTTGTGTTAGTGAATCTAGAATATGCAGTTAAACAAATAAAAAAATAAAAATCACTTATAATCCTGCTACTAAAATAAAGCCATTCACATACATAAGATTTTTAAATAAAACTGTAATCTTTCTATACTTTTTGGAATCTGATTTTTTTTTTGCTTATTTTGTGATTTTCATTAATTAAAGTTTTTTCTTAAACATATTTCTTAAAAATTGCTTTTTAATGATTTTCAATAGCTATTTAACATTATTATAATTTTCACTATTATAGGAATTTTACTTGTTTTAACTTATATTATTATAAATAGTGATGCCATGGAAATCCTTGAATATATATTTTGCATACTTTTGATTTTGTTAGTACAAAAGTATTGTGGCAGATAACTTTCTGGAACTAAAATTAACCTAAGAAAAATTTTAAGATACTTGATAATTATTGCCAAATTTTTCACACAGAATGTTTACTGAGTTAAACTCTCCAATCTTTTTTTCAAGAAATGTGTTAAGTTCTGAGCCTGGGCCATCTATGCTGGTTGCGGGAATCCAACAGTGAATAATATAGACACGGATTTTTGTCTTCAGAAATTTAATTTTATTTTTGTTCTTTGCATACAGGAAAACATAAGCAAGGTACCTTCCTGGACATAGTATTTCCCTTTATTTTTAACCCTTTTCCTGACAAGTTGGAGACAGTTTGTTTTAATGATATAGAGGCTGGATATTTGCGTGTACAAATATCACCCTTAAGGAAAATTCCTTTAGGAAGTCACAAGGCAACATTACAATTCATATATCCTTCTCATTTACCTTTGGGTATTTTGCTTTTAGTGAGATTTTTACTTTGGTTTTTGACTTACAAAATCTTACCATTGCTAATGCCTGAGAATGAAAAATAATTTTAGTAGTATATGAGCTGATCTTCCTGATATATTCATGTCAGCTATCATGAACTGATAGCTGTTTTTAAAAAGAAACTAGCTACATAGTAGAAATTTGTCATTTAAATTTTCATGCTTGAGCCTGTTGATGGTTTAAAAAAAAATGTGTGCAGTTTATTTCATCTCCATTATAGAATTCTGTTGCCTCCTATTATGATTCTCAGGCGTAGCTATGAAAATGCCATTAATGCATTTGTGAGAACATCAATGTCAGTTCAGGCTTTTGTCCCCATGACAGCCTGTTCAGTGTCAGCACCCCTTATTTTTATTCCTGCTGAAATTTGGCTTTCTTCCCTAATTTAGCTCTTTCCTTCTTTGGAGGATTACTTTATAATTCTCCAGATATTTTGAAGTTAATTTGCAGTTACTGGCAAGTTTTTTTTTTTTGATAGACTGTTAAGTAAATTATAGCTTTCAACTCTATTGAAAATGAAAAATGACTCAGAACTCTTCCTTTCTATAGGAACACATTGATTCTTATTGACACATGAAAATTTTTTACTTTATTTTTCTAAATTATTTGATTATTCTTCCAACTCCAATTTTAGTGATTAGTTGGTAATATAGTTACAGGATGAATGATATCCATTTTATATGCCCATTTATAGGGAATAAGTAACTGAAGAATAGGTAGGTATTTGTATCTCCTTAGACATGCTTTCTAGAAATAAAAGTGGGGTTTTAAACACTTTCTTTCATACTTCTTTGTCACATCTTGTTATTCCAGAGATACTGTATAAAAAGAATATCCTTAAAGTAGCTGTGTGGTATCAGAAGGTAACATAGAAGTGCAAGGTGAACTGTGGTATACACATCCAAATTCCTCATTTGTATAAGGCTGAAGTGTTGTACATATTAGACAGTTTACGCTTGAAATAAATGCATTAGTATTAATTACACATGGCACTGAGATAAGCAAACTGCACCTTCTCTACATGGAACATCCAGATCTGTAGACAGAAAACTGCTTAGTAGTTGCCAGTAGCTGGGCCAATGGGGGTGGGGGGTGACTGCTTTCTAGGTACAGGATGTTCTGTTGTAATGAAAAGTTTTGAAACTAAACTGAGATATGATGGTTGTCCAACATTGTGAATGCATAAAATGCCACTTTATCTAGATAAAGTGTAATTGTATATATGATGTTATTTGAATTTCAATTTTAACAAGCTAGTGAAATATACGTTTTATAACTAATTTTCATGCATGAATTTATGGATGAATATTAGAAATGTTAGATAATTAGTTTTAGCTCATGGGTTAAAAATGAGTTGCTCATCTGAGAACATTTCAGAAGATGCAAAAATATTTGAAGGATTAATTTATTTCAGTGTACTATTCCTTTCAAAATAAATATCTTCCACTATCTTGATATTTTGGTCGAAAACAGGTAGAAGATGTGAGAGGACAAAGAAAGTGAAATCTATTTCTAAATAGATTTTGTTATTCCTGTCAGCATGCCTAGTTAATCTCTCTGAATTTCATACATCGCTCTCCATTTACTAGAAAATTGTCCACCTGGGATTTTCCAGACAGATGTTGGTAGAATTGCATATCTGAACATTTCTTTCTTTCTTTAAAAGTGTTAGCACACAGAAAGAAAGATATTTACATTTGAGATGGTTGGTTTTGGAGAGAGAGATAACTGGTGATTAACAACAGTCTGCTTTTCAGGTCTTTCCTTCATGTTTCAGATCTGTTTGAACCAGTGTCTGTCTGATGATAGTTAAATTGGGCAACAGTCTTCTTGGTCCCTTTCAACTGTTTTTATAACTTATCAATATAAAAGTCTGAGGGTTTAACTACTAATTACACTGTGAATTAGATATGAGAGAGATTCATGAGTATCATTAGGCATTCAAGGGAATCTGGTGAAAGAAAGAGAATTTTAAATGCCTAAAATCCATTCCCAAACCCAGAGACAATTTGATCTGATTTTGTTCCTGATTTAACTATTGGCATGCCTTAAGAAGTCATAGAATTTCTGATGATTGTGGTATCTTTTGGAAACTGTTTCAAAATGAAATCAGAGTAAGTTTGAAGAGAGGATAGTTTGTTTTTTGCTTTTAAGAATTTGAAATACAGTGACTTATCCAGAACTTGGGCTCTATTTTCTGCTTTTACGTTGTCTTTTTATTTTGTATGGGCAAGTGTATCTCCCACTTTTTTACATCGCTGTTTCCTCATCTACAAATTGGAGATAACAGCAAGTATCTCATAGCACTATTGGAGGTAATAAACTACCATTAACTTTCAGTAAATGCCTGGGAAAGTTTTGAAATGGTATAAATAAAAAGAAATAAGACATGATCATATTTAATATCAATAAACAGAGTTATCTTGAGGGGCCCATAATAAAGTTTTGACATTATATTTAAATACTGGATCCTGGAATAGGTACATAAATATGAATCAGTTAATCCAATGGGTTTAGCACTTTTTTCTCATACTATTTTTATTCATCTAAGAAATTCTAAAGATGATTTAGCTTTTTTTTAATTTTTGTTAGATTATCCATTTTGGAGAAGTCACACAATTACATCTGTGGATGACTTTCACTAATAATTCAAAAATAGATTTTCATCTAACTTCTTTCTGGACAGTAATTTTTTTCTACATAATGCATCTAAGGGTGAAACCTGAAATGTCTTGACTCTGGGTCTTGTTTGCACACTCTATTTTAGACTAGATAAACCTGACCTGAACATTTTTTTTTTCTTTCAGTCTTTGTTCATGTTATATTGTTATATTTAAAAAATGACTTTTTTTAATATTTGATGTAATCTTTATACATTTGAGCATTTTGACAAGCTTTACTCATTTTGCTGATGTACTTAACTTATATTTTGTCATGAAAACTAACTGTATTTAAAGGTCAGTTGTATGTGTTTGTTTTACTTTTGGTCTTTTAGTTCTAGTGTGTTGTCCTTTTTGGTTTTGTTTTATTGCTTTTTTCTTTAATTTTGCTTACCAGAGCCAAAGCCTTAGTAGAAGAACAACGCCTTTTGTTCCTAGGGTTCAGGTAAAGGCCTTCTCTGCCTGATAGAAACTAAAGTTGTGTTTTAGCCCTTATTTGTATGTTTTTGGAAAATGCGTAGTAGGAAAACTTTTTGTATGTTGCTCCAAACCATATTATTGATGTTAAAATCATTTTATTAGCCAGCTTGTAAATTTCTGCATGGGAATTAAATACACTACAAATTTAAAGAGACAATCTTTGTTAGCGATTTTACGTGATGAACAGAATGTTGAAACTCACAGGTGTCAGAGTGACTTTTAATGCAGGTTCCACTCTGTGTGTAACCTTGGCAGAAATAGCTAATTTTATAATGTTGATATTTTCCTTTATTACACTAAGGTTTCTGTCTCTTTAAATCATTCATTGTATCATTTACATTCCCCATTCTCTTGCATTTTCCAAGCAACACTCCTTGAGGAAATTGGCAAATGAATTTGTACCTCATCTTAAATATGAATTCTTTGCATAAAATATATAGGTTCAACTTGTAGGAATTTTATTAATTTGAAGTAACAGAATAATAGTCCAAAAAAAACTTGCTGGGTTATTTTGTCTATATTTTGTAAAGTAATTCCATTTAATTTTACTATAATGCTTGGGTACAAGTTGTTTGCCACTTTTCATTAGGAATCTCTTATATGGTAAAACAACGTGAATATAGTTTTCAAAGAAAATAGCATCATTCTTTCCTTGCTTTGTTGCATGTTTTTTAGTTGTTGTTCTGGTTTTGAATATTACTAATTTAGTTTCAATTTAAAAAATTAAAATCGTTTTCATTAATATTACAGAATGTAAAATATTTACTTGTGCCTGAGGTTCTATTCAGGAAATTAAAAAATGTTATATAGTAAACCAGAATGATAACTACATTAGAACAATTAAAGTTAGACCAATAACTTATTAATAAAGAGAGGTACAATAAGGTGTCATATCTGCAATTGTCAAAGTATATTTGTTATATTTTGGTGAATCAACAGATATATTTTAATCATTCTTTTTAAAAGCAGAGATAAGAAATTTGGGCATGAGATACAAATAATCTAGCTAATAAAGTAATTCTGCTTTGATGATGTGAACAGGATATCTATTAAAAACTTCAATGTAAATCCTATAATGTAAAGTGAAAACTAGAGCAATTGATCAAATGCCCAATATAAGACAATTTATAAGAAAGTGCAGTTTTGAAGCAATCATTAAAATTAAAATGTGCCTGTTTCATATCTAAATTATTTTAATATCTATATATTTACAGTATAATATTATAAATATTAAAGTATTTTTATAAAAATACAAGTCATAAACCATATATCTTTGTGAGAAGGAATGCTATTAGTAAGTGATATTTTTGGTTTTCCATGGCATGAGAAATTAAAATTAAAATGAATACCTATTTTATCACATATATGAAATATCACAAAGGTTTAGCTCTAGTGACTTTAGAGAGGCAAAAATATTCCTCAGAAAATGGCAACAAGTGCTTAGTTTCAGTCTTTTAAAAAATTAAAGCTCACAGAAATCAGACTGGTCCAAAGTTAGTGAGCTATTTCAACTGGTTGTTCTATCAGTCATAGATTAAACTCCTTGTTCTACCCTTCCCCCATGCAAAAACAAAATTATAATAGAAATCAATTACTTACTCCAAAAATTATGCTTTTAGACTAATAACCCTGTTTCTTTGTTTCTTAAGTGTAAAGTTTTTGAAAAACATTTTTTAGCCTTTCAAATTGTTTTTCTTTGAGGTAACCTAATACTCATGTCATTATCTTCAGGAAATGACTTTTAATGTCATGGAATAACAAAGCCATGTTTTGTTTTGTTTTGTTTTTGTATTGCTATAAGAAATAGAGAATATCAGAAATTAGTGTGGTTTTAGTGACACATTTTAGAGGAATCTTGATGTTACGTGACATCATCTGTTTTACTCATATATGAGAAACTCCTGTATCTCTTTCCTTTTTGTTTTCCCCTCATGTCATTTGCCAGACAGTTTGCCTCCCTCTCTGACTTATCCTTATCTGTATCTATGTTCTAACATTGGTAGGCACATGAATATTTGAGAAGTTTTCCCCACTCAAATATCTGAGAATTTTTGTGCAGTTTGTGTAGCCCTAGTCTATCGCCATCATTCTCAAACTTTAAAGCCCAACAGTATTATCTGGAGGACTTGCTAAAGGTGCAAATTCCTGGGCTTCATTTGATCGAATAGGTGTAAAGTAAGTTTCTTTAAAAAAATTAAACCAGGTAATACTGATGTAGGTGGTTTTGTGAATCACAATTTAAGAAACACTTTCTAGAGTCTTCTTCTATATAGCAACTCTTACTAGTATAACTTTTGGTTACACAATAGAACAGTGATACCTGGATGAAACCTAAGGACTAAACACAATGTGAGGAATAGCGATTATTAGTATAATTTAAAAAAAAATAATGTTTATTATATTTATTCTTGTAAGAAGACTAATTCTATTGGACCAGAAATAAAAGACAGGAGTGTGTACACACACACACACACACATATAAATATTGGGCCATCAGTCTTGCTCCCCTGATTTAAAGTCTTGCTTATTCTCTTGTAGTCCTTTAAGAAATGAAATGAAGAACTCAACAAACCCATGTCAGAATTGGAGCTAAACGATCTTTATTTCATATATAAATATAAATGTATCTGTGCATGACATATGTATGATAAATATCCCATAGCCTGTCCCAGATCTGACTGTCCACTTTGAGAATAGAAGGAAGGATTGACATGATAAGTACTTATTTAAACTGCTGCAAATATTGTGCATCTAAATTAAAGAGAAAATTAGCCATAAGTTCTAGATTTCTCTAATTCAACATCAGGTTCAAGATAGTGATCAAAGATGTGTTGAGTTCTGAACAAAACATGCTTCAGAGCTATTATAGCAACTCACACAGTAGAATTAGCTAAATAGAGCTTGTAGAAGTATGAGGAGTGTGTGGGAGGTGACACCTGTTAAATCAAGTGAATTCAGCAGCTGGAGGTGAAGTTCCAATTCCTAATTATGATATAGGAAAATAGCTCACATTTGCTCATCTTGAGTTACAAAATACATTTTCTAATCCTAAAAAATATATGATACTTTCTCTCTACAAACAAAAAAAAGTCTATGTTAGGAAAAAAATTTACAGGTGAATTCTTTATAGTGCTAAATACACTCTTAAATACACTGCTGATTAAAGTATCAGTTTGCCTTAAAATGTTAAATGTCTTTTTCTATGGAATAACAAAACCTTTTTTTAAAATTTGCTTAAAAATTTACTGTGAATGCCATATAAACAAGTTACTGTCTATTATTTTGAGCTCTTATTCTGAATTCATAATAGTAAGGGAATCAAAATGAACTATAGTGATCCTTTCATAAAGATAGGGCAATCACAAAGTTCTTACTTATGGGGATGTAATTATTACATGTTAATAAGCAATCAAGTTAGGATACCAAAAGCCCAAGTGACTTATCCATAAAACTGAAATATCTGAATTAACTCCTGTATTCATTGAAGTTATTATAGCATATCCTTTTGTTTTAACCACAATTTACTAAGTGAAGTTTATATTCTGTGTTAATATTAGTGTAAGGGAGTAGGGCAGAGACTGGGAATGTAAACATGATATTATGTTAGTAAATGCTTAAACTAATGAAGGAATATTTTTGCTTTTCAGATAAAACTATGGTTTGACAAGGTTGGTCACCAATTAATAGTTACAATTTTGGGAGCAAAGGATCTCCCTTCCAGGGAAGATGGGAGGCCAAGAAATCCTTATGTTAAAATTTACTTTCTTCCAGATAGAAGGTATGATCATGAAACAAAAATAAATGTTCTTAAAACTAAATGAGAAATATTAATTTCATTGGATGTTTAGATTCTGTATCATTTATATATATATATATATATATATACATATATATATATATATCAGTCAAGTGCTTATGAAGCTTAATGGAAGCATAATAATTCTTAGGAATTAAAATAGTGACAATACTTTGAGACTGTTTTCAAATGTATATCAAATGTTTGCATAATAGACTTGCTGAATATTTAGTTTAAGCTGAATGGATTATTATATAATGTAGTTATTATTTATAGAAATCATTAAAAATTAGGCTCTTAACTGAATTTTTAACACAAACTACACAACAAAAAGCTGGAAATGGTGTTAGAAGTACTTGTCATTTTTCTGTACCATTTCTTTTTTTTAAGATTTATTTATTTATTTGTACATACAGAACTGGGGTACAGGCCAGAGGCTCAGGGGTGGCGAGAGGCTTCACCAGAGACAGAGTGGGGAGCAGAACAGGCAGATCGATGAAGTACACTGCTGAGGGGAGCAGTGGGCAGGTCAGGAGAGGTCTGCCGCGCCATGTGGTCACCTCCCGGGCAGGTGGGAATCGAACTCATTCGGAAGTGGCTTTAGCTTCTCAGTGCACCAGCGAGGGCCTTCTGTACCATTTCTACCTCTTTGTAGTAAGATACTATTTCTTTGTATTCTGTGAAATTAATGAGTGTCCTTTTTATTTCACCATCCCACATGAAATAAAGGCCTGTATCATAAGGCCCAGAATCAGGTTCTTCACATGTCACTTATTTTGTGTTCATGCTGATGAACTTAAGTTATATTGTTTTACCCTGATTGAAATTAAGAAATTAGAATAGGAGAAATAGCATATCAAAAATTAATCATTTGTAATTTCAAGCACATTAAAAAAAAAAAAGACGATTCAATAGATATCATGAAAAAGAAAAAAGAAAGAAGTAATGGAGCCAAGTATTCCACACTTCTGGCCCAGGGCAGGTGTTCTCAAGATCTGGTCATGTTAACGCAGGGTAGAGGTACTTAAGCACAGGTATAATCTTGGACATGTTCACATGTTTTTGGATCTCTCAGTTCAAGTTGAATGTCATCAGGGCTGAGTACCAAAGTATCATCTGTAAAACAAACTCAGAAAAGAAGAGAACAGAGGTAGATCATTAACAGAATCTTTGTATTTTGCTTTATACCTACTTGGAAGTGAAAGTTGTGATACAAATGCCTCAGAAAACATGTTAAGGTCTCATAGCATTTAAAGTCATCAGGAACTGTTCAATTTTATCAAATAAAGTTTGTTTGAAGAAAGTTGCTCCCTAACGACTTAGGTTGTCCAAAAGAGCATAGATTTGGACCTGCAGGGAAAAAAAGTGTCAATAACTAGAGATTTTAAATCTAGCTTCAACTTCAACTGGATAACAGTGTAACAGTGTATTTCCATGACAGTGTAACAGCATATTTCCATGACAGTGTAACAGCATATTTCCCTAACATCCAGCATATATATCCAATTCATTGTAATGGCTACCTAACAGGTAATAGAAATCATTTTATAGTTTTTGAAGACCTGATAATGGCCAAATAATCAAGTATATATCACATATATATTAGAAAGTAACTTGACAAAATGTAATTATAAACTTCTCATCACCTCTATATGTATGTGAAATCTTTTAGATGGTAATTTTTAGAATTTACAGTAAAACTTCTGTACTTTAAGTGAATAGTGCATAAATATTGTTGGTTAATTGCATTTTAAAGGTGTCCAATAGGAAAGTATGTTTAAAAAAATTAAAGATTCTTCAGTCTGGTTTATTTTGATTTTAAGAAAGATTAAGATATAGTTACCTATTATGGAAAAAGTTTAGATTTATTACTATAGTGCTATACATTTATACATTTATAATGCTCTACTATTATATATTTTAATACTAATTTTTAAAGTTGTAATATTTGCAATATAGGATAAACATATGTGGTGAAATCTTCTTTAAAAATTTTAATTAAAATTTTCTTAGGACAAGACAACATTTTATGTAAGTCCATACATTCTTACTTACTTTATAGTGATAAAAATAAGAGAAGAACTAAAACAGTAAAGAAAACATTGGAACCCAAATGGAACCAAACGTTCATTTACTCTCCAGTGCACCGAAGGGAATTTCGTGAACGAATGTTGGAGATTACTCTTTGGGATCAAGCTAGAGTTCGAGAGGAAGAAAGTGAATTCTTAGGAGAGGTATTTGAAATTATTTTAAAATTTTTGTGTCAATTTTTTTTTATTTCTAATGTAGATATCTGTTTTGAACCATACAATGTTGATTCATATTTCACAAATGCATTACTATACTTGATAATTTGTGCATCATATTAATTTACCCATGAAATAAATGTATTCAGTCATTTATTGAATACAATCATTTATGTAATTGAATCATTTATTCATGCATTATTTTATAGTACTTTTTTTAGCTAACTTGTTTTTATTGAACTAATGTTGGTTTACAGTACTGTATATGATTTTTATGTATGTGTTCACACCTCTTCACATATATGATGCCATACCTGCCCCCCCATCAGAACACCCCATGGTCTTGCACCGTAGTCCATTGGGGCCCATCCTCCCCTATTGCTCACTTTTCACCCTCCTGGTACCGGTACTAGGTACTTGGACTACCTCATAGCCTCAGTTCTGTAGTCAGGTTTCTAGGGCTTGTCTTGGTTTAGTTTTCTTTGTTTCTCCATAATGCTCTCTGAGTGAAACCATCCAACATTTGTTTCTGATTTTTTTTTTTTTTGCTTAGCATAATCCCCTTCAGTGATGGATTATTTTTTAAACCCTGTAATGTACCCATAATATGCTAGGATCTGAGGTTTCAAAGATGAATAAAGTATATTACTTCCTTAAAAGAATTTGAAATCCATTGGAAATAGGGACAAGTGAATAGGCGACTTTAATGTAATATGGCAGGTGCTATTACAGTGAAAATATAGTAGGACTATATTCTTGCTGTGCAGAGTAGAGAGTGAAAAGACGCGGTTTGGTGAATCCACCAGAGAAGAAGTGGAATCCAGCAGATTCAAGAGGAATGAAATACCGCAAAGTGAATAGCAGGACCCTAGAAATGAAGGATGTCTTGTGCCGCTGCATTAAATTGAAGAGAAAGTGATGTGAAATAAGACTTGAGAATTAAACTGCACCAAATCCCATCCCTTAACATAGTATATTGAGAAGTTTAGATTTTATTCTGTGAATAAGGGGAACCACTAATGCTTTTAAAAAGAGAATGCCTTGACAGCATTTACACTTAAGAAAAATATATGAGCCAGTTCTACAGCTATTAACTGTAAACTGTGAAAGCAGGTAAACTAAGATACCTGCAGCCATTTTCAATGTGATTGGTTTTTCCTGGGTAAATTAAATGGTAATTTCATGGGAGAAACATCAATCTAGTCAAAGACTGAAATGAATGTTAGTTAAGAAATCAGAGTGATATAACAGTTGGGAAGTCGGGTACAGAATCTTCAGAGCAGAAACTGTATTGCCAGCTGTCTAAGTCTGTCCTCAGTTCTGCCACTTCCGAGTCAGTTTTTGTGCAAGTTACTTACTCCAAATGTGCTTCTGCTTTCTCTTAAGTCAGGGGGAATAACAATATTAACTCAAGTTTAGTATGAGAATTGAATAAATGTGTATCAGTGTAAACATTTGGATTATATTATTTTTTTTTAAGATTTATTTGTGCATACAAGAACTGGGTTGCAGTCCAGAGGGGTGAGAGGATTCACCAGAGACAGAGTGGGGAGCAGAACAGGCAGATCTACTGAAATACACTGCTAAGAGGAGCAGCAGGCAGACAGGAGAGGTCTGCTGTGCTGTGTAGCTGGGAATCGAACTCGTGGTACAATGGCTGCAGATGGCTTTGTAGTGCTGAGATTTAACCCCTTGCGCCACCAGGGAGGCCCTGGAATATAATATTTGTAATTTAAAAATGACCAGGGAATATTTAGGAAGAATGAAAGAATAACTTAAATATTTTGCTTCTTTACCTTCCATAGCTAAATCATGATTTATCGCTCAAAAGCAGTTCTTATGTACCTGAAATCAAATACTGTCATATGCAAATATATTATGTTAGAAACCTTTCAGAGAGTCTCTACATTGTTGATATATAACAGTCCTTTGTATGTTGCCTTTGTAGATTTTAATTGAATTAGAAACAGCATTACTAGATGATGAGCCACACTGGTACAAACTCCAGACCCACGACGTCTCATCATTGCCTCTTCCCCACCCTTCTCCATACATGCCCCGGCGGCAGCTCCATGGAGAGAGCCCAACACGGAGGTTGCAAAGTAAGTTCAGTAAAAGTTTAGCTTAAGTTTATTGAATTCTCAGGAATACACACACATACACACACACACACATACACGTACATGTACATACATGGGTATTAGCCGGCCTTTCTATGGGTATTGGCAGGTTTTTATTAGTATTTTCATGACTTATTGAAGCTGTTAAATTGATGCACTAAAATAAGTGAATACATTCTTTTACATTCACCCATTAGAGTGTATGTTTTAATTTTAGCTAGTAGAATCTTAAATAAAATAGAATTTGGCTATGTGACCACAATATATAAAATTATGATTTATACATTCATTATGACATATTTTTGTGAATATATAGGGTAACAAATACAGCATATTTGTTGAAACCAATAGCATGAACTAAGATGACTGAGACAAACTCAAGTTTGAATTTTTGATTCTCTCGTTTAAAACTTGTATATCTTGTAGCAGTCATCACTCTGTGCTTTCTTTTTCTCACTTAGAAAAAGGAAATAATAATGTTAATACCTATAGACATGGTGGTTATATGGTTAAGTAATCTTAAGAATAGAAATTGATATTATTGTTGCTTTCAGTGTTTGTGCTTTACCCTGAATTATGCATATCCTAAATGATAAAATAGACATATCAGCCCAGAGAATCTTAAGGGAAACTTACAAATATTTTTTGTGTTGGAAGGTGTTGACTTGTTGCTTCCACAACAAGGTCTTTTTAAAGTTTATTAAATAGATCTATTATTTAAAAGTGAGACTTGGGGAGACGGATGTTTGCTACTTAGATAGTATTCACAGAGTCATTTTATCTTTGTGGAATCAGCGTGCTCCTGGTTTAGCACCACTTTTGCAAAGTAGTAGAAACTGTAACCAGATTTCAGAAGTGTAAGTTTGTTAGCATGAACTCCATGTCCTTGACTAATGATGAAGTATACCTAGCAACATAATAAATAAGCTTTGTTTGTTTGGCTGGAACTCTTCCTATTGAATAGGGCACTAAACTACACTGAACTCATCAGAGGCTGATGAACAGAGAATTAGAGTAAAGGATTGGTTCTATGGGATCGTTAGTCATAGGAAAGCAAGAGAAATTATTTTCCTTTAAAGAATAATTCTCTCGTGTCTGGAACTTTCTTTCTACAAAATAGTCTTTTACAAATAGACTGTTAGTTAAACTCTATTCTTAAAAGTCATTTTTTTCAGGTTCCCAAAAAACTTGTGATTGCTATTATATCCTTTGCTGTGATTATATCACCATGCATTTTATGTAGACTGAATTTAGAGTGTTTACTTTCTGGCCACTGCAATCTATTTAGTAAATTTTCTCTAAATCACAATATAGAGTGATGGGCTACTGCATGAACATTATCAATAATTCATATGGACCAATATTTATAGTGTACTTTTTTCTTTTTTAAAATTTTATACGTATATTTTTGTCATATATGGCCTTTATTAATGTTAAGGTACTTTCCTTCTATCCCAAGAGTTTCAAGTACCTTTATCATGCTTGGATGCTGGACTTTGTCAAATGCTTTCTCTGCTTCTATTGATATGATCATATGGTTTTTATTTTTCTTTTTGTTGATGTGTTGGATAACATTATTTGATTTTCAAATGTTGAACCATCCTTGTGCGCCTGGGATAAATCCCAGTTGGTCGTGGTGGATTATCTTTTTGACGCATTGTTGGATTCTAATAGCTAGGATTTTATTTAGGATTTTTGTGTTAGTGTTCATTAGAGAGATTGGCCTGTAGTTTTCTTTTTTGGTATGTGTTATCCTTGTTTGGTTTTGGTATCAGTGTAATGTGGCTTCAAAAATGTGGTTGGTAATACTCCTCTCAATTTTTTGAAAGAGTTTGTGTAGGACAGGCACTAGTTTGTTTTTGAGCATTTGGTAAAATTCATTTGTAAAGCCATCTGGTCCTGGGCTTTTGTTTTTGGGGAGAGATTTGATTACTGTGTCAATTTCATTGCTTGTAATTGGCTTGTTTAGGTGTTCTATTTCTTCTCTGTCAAGCTTTGGGCGACTGTAAAGTTGTAGGAATTTGTCCATCTCTTCTAGATTGTTGAACTTGTTTGCATATAGCTGTTCATAGTAATTTCTTCCTATTCTTTTGGTTTTTGCTGTGTCGTGATTTCTCCTCTTTTGTTTATGATCCTCTTTTTTGTGTTTTCTCCAATTTTTTCTTTGTGAGCCTGGCTAGAGTTTTGTCTATTTTGCTTATTTTTTCAAAGAACCAGCTTTTGGTTTCATTTATGTTTTGGGTTGTTTTCTTAACTTCTATTTCATTTATTTATGCTTTGATTTTTATTATTTCCTTCTATTGACTTTTGAGCAGCTTTTTTTGTGTTCTTTTCCCAGTTCTTTAAGGTGGGACATTAAGTTATTTTTTTTTTAGTTCTTTCTTGTTTCTTGCCTGGATTGCTATATATTTTCCTATTATAACTGCTTTTGCTGTGTCCCATATGTTCTGTAGGGTTGTGTCCTCATTGTCATTCATCTTGAGGTACTTTTTAATTTCTTCCTTGATCTCCTCGTTAATCCAGTTACCTTCCAGTAGTGTGGGTTTTAATCTCCATGAAGTAGGAGTGTTCCTTTCTTTTTGTGGTTTACTTATAGCTTGATGCTTTCATGTTCAGAGAAGATAGTTGGTATGATTTTGGTCTTGGAGTATTTGTTAATGTTTATTTTGTGCCCCAGTATGTCATCAGTTTTGGAGAATGATCCATGTGCATTTGAGAAAAATGTGTCCTCAGATTTCTTTGGTTGTAGTGTCCTGTAGATGTTTGTTAGCACATGAGGTCTATACCCTTGTTTAGAGTTCTTGTGTCTTTGCCTACTTTTTGTCTTGTTGATGTATCTAATGGTGACAGTGGTGTGTTGAAATCTCCTACCAAGTTTGTGTTTTCTCTAATGTCCATTTTCAGAGATGACAATAATTCTCTGACATATTTTGGTGTCTTTCCTTTGGTGAATATATGTTGATGGTTGTTACGGTTTCCTGGTGATTATCCCTTTAGTCATAATGTAGTGACCTTCTGTGTCTCTTTTTACTTTTTTTAGTCTGAAGTCTGTTTTGTCTGATAAGAGTATAGCTGTCTCTGTCTTCTGTTTTGATCCATTTGCTTGTAGGATTGTTTTCCGTCTTTTTACTTTCAATCTATGTTTATCTTTTGCTGTTAAATGTGTTTCCTGTAGACAGAAAAGGTTGGGTTCTGTTTTCTTTTCTTTTCTTTTCTTTTTTTTTTTGATTCAACCTGCGACTCTGTCTCTTTACTGGTGGGTTTAGACCATTTACATTAAGAGTTAATATTGATATAGTGAAATCTGTGGGTTTTTTTTTTTTCATTTTCTTTTTTGTGGTTCTTTCCTTACCTTGTTCTAATCTTCCTAGTCACTCCCCTATTAGTTTTAGTTTCTCCAGTGTCTTGTAGTAATTTTTGTAGTGGGGGTTTATTAGTGATGAATTTCTGGAGATTTTGTTTGTCATGAAAAGTTTTTTTTTTTTAAAGATTTATTTATTCATTGTCATGAAAAGTTTTTATTTTTTCATCGTAGAGGATGGAGAGCTTCTCTTGGCTGGAATTTGTTAATGAAGTTGTTGAGTATGTTCCTCCATTCTCTTTGGGCCTGTAGTGTTTCTCTGGAGAAGTGTGATGTCACCCTGATTGGTTTTCCATTGAATATATTTGTTTCTCCCCACCCCCATGTCAGCTTTATTGTGTTTTCATTGTCTTGGACCTTTGACAATTTTACTATTGTGTGTCTTGCTATCGCTTTCTTTTCACTGTGTTAGTTTGGTGTTCTTCTGGCTCCTGTATTTCTATTTTCATTTTCTTCTTCATGTTTGGGAAATTTTCTTCCATTATCTCCTTGAACAGTGTTTCAGCTCCAGTTCTCTCTCTTTGCCCTCTGGGACACCTCTGATTCTTATATTTCTTTTCCTCATTGTATCTGGTATTTCTTGGATTGACTTTTCAGTTTTTTTTCTTTTGTAGTTCTCTTTCTTTTTCTTGTACTTTTTATGTCTGAATCTTCAAGAATGCTGATTTGTTCTTCCATTTCTTCTATTCTATTTTCTTGGCTTTTCTCAGAGTTTTTGAGGTCCTACACCTGCCTTTGGTTATCCTCCAGATCCTTCACTCTTTTCCTCAGCTCTACTCATTCTTTTAGCTCTTAATTATTTCCATCATGGCCTTTTTGAAATCTTTGTGTTAGGTGGAGGTATTCTTCTACTTCCATAATATCGTTTTCTGGGGAGTGACTTTCTCTCGGGGGGGGGGCTGTTGATCACTTGTGTTTTTTCTTTTTCCTGTTAGCCTTCTGCTTTGTTTTGTTCTAAGTACTCCTGTGCCACTGTTGCTGGTGGGCATGGTTTCTAATTATTCTTGTTGTGGTGTGAATATGTCTGCCTGGTTCTAAGCCTCTGTGGCTGGTTACATGTCCAGATACTTCAGTTGTGTCAGATGTTCTGAGCTGTGCTTTATTACAAGATCTCCTATTATTCCAGCCCCCACTCAGTGAAATCGGGCTTGTCAACTCAGCCAGTCATAGCCATGGTTCTCTTATGGGATTCTGCTTCTTCCAATAACACGTTGAGTCCTAGTCTCTGGGAGGTGCCTGGATGGGCTGGTTTTGTCTATTGAACTTCTCGCTTCTTCTAGGTGTGCCTTGGTAAAATAATGGAATTAATGTAGAGTAGGGAGTGAAAGGAGGGGTTGGGGAGAGGGAAGGATGATATGGAATGTAATAGGAAGGAAAGAAGAGGTGAAGGTTAAATGGGGGTAAAGGGAAAAGGAGGAAGAAATGGAGGGTATGTAACAGAAAATGAAGCGATAGCAATGATAATAATGTTGAAGGGAATGGAGAAAGCTAGAGGAGACAGAAAAACAGGGTAAAAATGAAGGAAGGCCATAGAAATCTACTAGCGGAGCAATATTGGAGCAAAACAAACAAGCAAGCAACAAACACATCCATGGATAGGGAGAATTGCCTCTCAGATGTT